TGGAAACTATTCATCAATTGTAAATGTTTATAAACCTTTACTGATAATTAGTACCTTTATGAGCAGTCATTTCGATGGCAAAAAGTGTCCCAAATGACTGGAATTTACCCTATTTTCACATCTTCACTAAACATGTATTCATGTTTTTGCAGTACCCAATCAAAAGTTGAGATTATTCATCATTTGTAAATGTTTGTAAACATTTACTAATTTTTTAGCATCGTTATTGGCACTGGACTTTTAGCTACTGTAACAACTTTTGTGTAAAGGGTTGTTAGTTAAGTTTAGCTAAATGCTTGGTAAAGACACATTGTGATTTGGGTGCAAAGCATGTTTTTATTGCCTCAACACTTACATTAGTATACTATTGTGAATCATTAAACAGAATATTCCTTGAATCATACATCAACAGGAGGGGGAAAACCAATTTTCATGAATACTTAATTGATCATTTATCAAAACAATGCAATATAAACAGATTGAATCGTGTTCCCTTATAGTAATCAAATTGACCCCTGTACACTGCTGACCACTTACCCAACCTTAAACCTACCCGTACCACCAAACCTGTCCCTAACTCTACCCGTATCACACCTCAACAGCAGCAAGTGTTGTGCATTAAAAAAAGCTTTTAATCATTGTATAGGATCTGATCAAATCATTTGTAGATTTTCAAGATGTGCATGATCATATGAATTAGAAGTTTAATGACATTTGTAAGCATTTTAATTTACATGAAATGTTAATTATTAGGTCATGTTTAATACATTTATTAGTAAACATTAACAAGCACATTATTTCACGTTTCTAGATATGAGAATATATATTAACTAATGATTCATTAAGCATTACATAATGTTTGTTAATGATTTATTAATGAAAGTTATTATAAAGTGTTACCACTTCTATTCTTCTATTAATTTGTGTGTTGATGTTACCTTCTTCCTTCAGGTGATCAGTCTGAGACGGAGTACTCCTTCCACTGTCAATGAGGTCATGCCCTTCAATTCTGCAGCTCATAATACTGTATGAGCAGTTATTTTCAGTGGCATTGGTTTATTTCATTTGTGATGTTTCATGTGCATTTTCAAATGTGTACTCAGTGGCACTCACAATTTTGTTTGTAATTTGTTCTTGTCTTTTAACAGAACATGTTTGATCTTATCATAGAAAATAAATCATTTTAATGTTGTAAAAATAATGAAACCACCAAAATATTGTACAATAAACTGTAACATTTTCAGAGAATCCCAGGAAAAAGCTGCTCTATAAATCTATGCTGCCTTCAAAAATCGAGTGAATAATAATAGTGAAGTTATTGAATATTTTTTAATAACAGTAAAGTTACTGATTTATTATATATTTTTTTATAAAATATGAACATTTTGCAAAAGCACGTTTGTTCAAAATAAGTGATGTAGGATAATCAGAGACCATTGATATGTAAATTGAATTTAGTAACACTACAGTTTGTAACATTGAAGTTGTTGACTATTTTTGTAGTAATGATTTTCGGGTTTTACACTTTGTATCGGGTCCCTTTGGACTTCTCTCCGCCGCCTGCGCATAGAGATCAATGTGTTTTGTCCAGTGCGGAGAAAGGCTTGTTTCAAGGAAAATTTGGTTGTAGCTCATTGTATACGTTACTACGATTGAAAAGTGTTATTTGTTTAGCTCACGAGTTACTGATCCGAGAAATTTGAATCTGTGAATATCCACCTTTTTCTTCCTGTAAGAGCGGGCGTGGACATTTGTAAATTTTATGGGTCTAGCTTCTGCTCTCATCCGCATCCAGCTATTTTTAGCTGTACAAAACAACTCATTTCGTTGCTTGATATTGAAAACTGCTGTGTCTTACCACATTATTTTAATGTATTATCAATTATGAACACACTGGTTTGTAGTGCAAACAGTTTTACTGTTTACTGCACGTTGTTATTCAGTTAAGGCTAGAAGGGATACAGCTATTTAATTGTTTGATCAAAATTATTGCTAGGGATAATTTGGTAGCTGCTGGATATTGGTAGGGACATGTCAGCTCAGGTTCCTGACACTATCACCTCAAGCAGCCCTTCTTCCTGGAGCTCTCTCTGCCTTACTCCATCATCCGTGGGGAGATCTTTGAGCTGAAGGCCACTGTCTTCAACTATCTGTCCAAGTGCATCATGGTAAGATTTCAGACTCAGTCTTATCCAATCATATCAAATGTGCCACTAATCATGTGAGTTTGACTGACAGGTTAAAGTGACTACACTCTCAAAGCCTCCTCTGATGATCAGTATTCATCCTGTCTGTGTGCTAATGGAAGAAAAACCTTTAAATGGATCCTCACTCCTTCTGTTCAAATACATATTTCCTGAATATTTTTAACGTCATAATAAATATAAAATCAATATGAATTGAAACACAGCAACGCTAAACACTAACCTAAAAGACACTTTGTTATTAACACATTGTAATATAAACTGCATGTGTTTTGTGAATTGTCCTGGCTTTTTTTCTCATTTATTTCTACTTATTTTGTTACTTTATGAGACATTTAGGAAACTTTTCCTTTCTATTTGCTCTTTTCCAGATATGAAAGGATTAACATGGTCGTTGTGGATATTAAACTCTTATCTGGATTCACAGCTGATACTTGGATTCAACAGAGTCAGAATGAACCCCTAACATCCTAAACTCAAACCATTGTTTTATACAGTTACAGTTGACTACCCTTAATGTAAATGAAGTTGCTCCTGTCGTAACAGCTGTGGTCTGTATGTTAATGAAGTTCTGACACCCCATTTGTCTGAGATGGTTCTCGGTGTCCCACACCTATTCCCATTCTACAATTGGTCACCATTTGCTCAGGATGAGATCATCCCAAATGATCTAGAAACAACATAACTGACTTTCTTTTTCTCTATAATAATTAAGCCATTTTGGGAAATAAGCATGATTGAACATCTATTATTACATGGAATTTAGGTTGGGGCAGTCTGTAGTTTCTTACAATACCTTGTGAAAAGTTGTTCTATCTCAGCTCTGCTTTTTAATCTTCTTAAAACACTGTATGATGCCCATTTATGACCATTGTAGGTCCTCCTGCTCTAGAATATTTGAATAAAATTATAAAAAAGGTAATTGTGATTTTTTTTTTATCTCACAATTCTGACTTTTCTCTCACAAATGCAAGTTTACATCTTGCAATTCTGGCCTTTTTCTCAGAATTTTGACATATACAGTAAACATGCAATTCTGAGAAATAAAGTAAATTGCGAGAATCGTGAGTTTCTGTCATGCAATTCTAACTTTATGGAGAGTTTTCATCTCACAATTCTGACTGTGTAATTTGCAATTGTGAGTTTATATCACACAATTCTGAAAAAAATTTGTAATGAGAGCAAAAAGTCAGAATGTGAGATAAAATTCACAATTATCTTACTGTTTTTTTATTCATCGGTGGAACCGGACTTCCATTGAAACTTCTCATCCCATCACTCTCAAGTAATAAGGAGAATACTATCTGAAGGACCACCTTTAGCATGAGACTCCCTTTATAAGAGACGGCTCAGTTCATGTCAAGACCTGGATGATCACTCGTCATCATGGATCTGAACATTAGTTGCTGTTGGAAACGGCTCCTTCTGTTCTCTCTCCTTGTCTTTGTCAATGGACAAACGTCAGGGCCGTAAGTAACTAAGTGTTTCTATTCGTTTTAATTTCTATATAAATCATCTGTCACTTTTTCTCATTTTAAAAAGGGGCAACTACATCAACACATTAACTTTGATGTTTTGCAATAAAATCCATTTCAGCATTTCATGAAAATGTCAACAACAAAAAAAAAATAATATCTTACTACTAAAATAATTGAATGCCTTATTATATCTTTACAGATGTTTCACGGTGACATTTCCTGCAGTGATCGAGTCGGGATCTGAGGCCAAACTGTGTGCAAGTCTTCTCAAGCCCAATGAAAGCCTTGTCATGAACATTTATGTGGTTCATGGTGACCAGAGCACTTTACTGCTGCAGGAGAAAGCTGAGGAAGAGTTTCACCGCTGCTTTAACTTCAAGGTCTGTCATCAGCACATTATAATAAATATATTCAAATATGTTTGTTTCATCATAATTCATCTAGGTTTTTGAGATGGCCTGTTTGCAGAGGTTGTGAATACAGGATATTATTTCTCATCAGGCTCCTCTGGTAGAAGCAGAATCAGTGCAGAGAATGAAGGTAGAACTTCAAGGAGAGTCTTTCAAGATGACTGAAGAGAGAAAAGTCATGTTCAGATCTTACCATCCTCTGACCTTTATCCAGACTGATAAACCCATCTATATTCCAGGACAGACAGGTGAGCTGTGAATGTTTAAAAGGTTAAAAAACTGTAAATACTGCTGGTGTCATCAAATATAGGCCTATACCCCCTCCTTGACAAAACTGCATTTTAGTAAACAATATATTGAGCATCACAGTTTGATATTAACCCGGCTTTGTGATGTCAAACATGTACAGTGTAAAA